AGTGGACTCAATTTGCACTATTTCTGGCAGTCTGCAAAGGCCAGAGGTTCAAAGGCTTTGTTAACTGAGGTATGCCAGTTTGGGTACTGGAATCAAAAGCTCAATTTTTTGCTTATCGTATGAAAGTTTGGTTTGAGATAAAAGTTGATTATAGGATATTCAGCAGAGAATTTTACTTTCCTATATGGTACAAAGATAAATAATAGACAGATAGAAAAATAGATAGATAGATCAATTTCTCTGTTTCTGAATAGGAGTAGCATGCTGTTAGTAGCCTGCTACATTAAATGGTTGTTGGCTGTTGTATTGAGAATAGATGTATGATAATATATTAACTGTTGGACTGGATGTGTCTACATATATGTATATATATATGTGTGTGCGTGTGTGTGTGTGTGCTTGTGACACTTCTTTAAGCGCACCTAGTTGTTGTTGTTGTGGTGTGCCCAAGTTGTTTCCAACTTATAGTGACCTTAAAGTGAACCTATCATGCTGAAACCTATCTGGGGCTGAAAGTGTGTGACTTGCCCACGGTCACCCAGTAGGTTTCTGTGGCTGAGCAGGAACTGAACCCTGGTCTCCAGACTTACAGTCCAGTGTTCAAACCACAGTGTTCAAACATTGGTTCTCCAAATAACAGCAAACCATTTGGCATGCATAAAGCAGGAAATGGAGTTGTTTTTATCCAAGCACTGGCTTCATGTCTAAACAGCTTCTGGCTTTGTTTTAAGGCAAAAAATTAGTTTCTGTTCTCTGTATCCAACACTGAAACATATCATAATTATATTGTCAGTTGTAACAGAAAAACATGTTTGTGACTTAGGGTTATGTCATTGATAGTGAGGGGGGGCTACCAATCTTTGTAAAAATGGATGTGAACTGCAAACGTGGGTAGCAAGGTAACCAGATGAGTGAAAGAGTGCAGTCACACTTGGTTCCTGAACACTAGGCTTATGACTTGGAATGAATCGGGGTTCACCTGTGACTCTGTAACATCCTGGCAGGAGGCAAGCTATTGTATGGTGACTCTAAGGTGAACCTATCATGGGATTCTCTTGGCAAGATTTGTTCAGAGAGGGTTTGTCATTGCCCTTCTCTGAGGCTGAGAGAATGGGACTTGCCCAAGGTCAACCAGTGGGTTGCTCCCTCTGTTCAATCATGTCCGACTAGAGATTTGAACCCTGGTCCTCAGAGTCATAGTCCGACACTCAAACCACTACACCATGACATGGAAGGCATAGGTTCAAAACAGAACAGGGAAAGTCATTTTAGTCTCTGTGCTGAGAGATTAGGGATATACTATTACTACATAATTGTGCCATTTTCATATTAACTTAATTGCCATAGCTCCATTCTGTGGATAGAATCCTGGGATTTATAGTTTCATGGAATACTTAGAACTGTGTAATGCATTTTCTTTAACTACAGCATTAGAACTCTCTAGCTGAAAAAAATCTATGAAAAAGCCACTTCCCTTTTTAGCATTTATATGACAGTCAGAAATTAAGCCACAGAATTTCCTCTATTCTGTTCTGCATATACAGTCCATAACAGAAAATGCTTCACCACTAGAATGTCTGTTTGTCCTTTCATTGTTAAATGCAAGCGAATCCTCCCAGATAATAAAAGGTTGGCAATTTTAATTATCCCAGACGAGGAACAGGAGTGATCTGGTGCAGTTTCCGGTTACCGTACTTCAAGAGTAGGGGGGAGATCTATCTATCTATCTATCTATCTATCTATCTATCTATCTATTGAACAACATCTTGATAGATTTTGGTGTCTTGGTCTTAGAAATGGAACATGAAGACCTGGGCTGCATCTACACTGCAGAAATAATCCAGGTTGACACCACTTAAACTGCCATGGTTCAATGCTATGGATTTTTGGGAATTGTAGTTTATTGTGACACCAGTGCTCTCTGACATGTCCCACAAAGCTACAGTTTTCAGAATTCTATAGCAGTGAGCAATGGAAGCTAAAGTGGTGTCAACTTGGATTATTTCTGCAATGCGGATGCAGCCTGGGACTGCCCAGTCACCTTTAGAAATCAATGACTTTGAGCAGGTCTGCACCCTTAGAATGATACGCACATCCAGATACTTTATAGCTGCTCTCTAATGGAGAAAAATGTTTTCAGGCACAGTGCTGCTAATTTCACAGAGTGTGAGTATGGATCTTGTAGCACCTTTGAGACTAACTGAAAGAAAGAAGTTGGCAGCATGAGCTTTTGTTGACTTCAATCTACTTCCTCAGATACATTTGGTGGAGTGAAAAAGCAAGGACAGACCTATATAAGTCAAGTGTGTGTAGCTTGCAAATTAATAAGTACATTTTGAAATGTGATGACCTGGGGCTCTACTCATTTAATAAGGATGATCTGGGATGAACTTCCATTGGGGTCCAGCTACAAGCTATGATGGCTATCCTTTCTTTTTCTCTGAGATGGAGTACTCATTAGAAGTTCCATGCATAATAGTAGTATATCTTTGAATACCAGATGTTGGGGGCAAACAAACAATAAAAGTCTGTGACCTTCGTGTTTCAAAGTGAACCAAGTTGATAATGGTGGGAAACAGGATGCCAAACTTAACAGATTTTGCTCTGATTCAGAACTGATTTTATCCTCCTCTGGAAGGATAAAATTATTGAAACAGTATAGTTTAATGTGGGAAAAATGAGGGTGATGGGATCCTCTAGATTCTATGGAAAATGGGGCATGTATGATTCCCCCAAACCCTCTTTAATTGCCCAACCCTGATTTAATGAATGCTACAGCTTCAATGGAAAGGCACTGTGGTATAGTGGTTTGAGCACTGGACTATGACTGTGGAGACCAGGGTTCAAAACCCACTGGATGACTTTGGGCAAATCACACTTTTTCATTCTCCGTGGACAGCAAAATTGCACAGATCTTGCAAGAAAACTCCTCATTTTCTTCATAATAGGTTCCTCATACTGTCACCATAAGTCAGAACTGACTTGAAGGCATACAACAACAACAACAACAACAAGAGCTTTGATGCCTTTCATATTTTCCACTGCAATGTCCTTGGGAAAGTAAAGCTGTATATTGATGTCCATATTCAAAAGCCAGTTTTATCATTTTGGGAATAATCACCCATCAAATGGCATTTCTTAGATACTTGTTTGAACAACTTTCTGATAGCATTTATTGACACTTGCTGAAACATGGCAGATCAAACAGTGTGCAGCCAGACACAATGTTAAAGTTCTAATATTATGAACCCAAAGCCTGTTCAACAAGTTTTCCGTGTGCACGCAAGGCTTTCTAATTGGGCTATGGTATTAAGACAGTGCATCTTTTTAAGTTTTCATGTGAAAGTATGAGCTTTGGAATGACAGGATATCAAAGTGAAAATTAATGTCCGCCACTTGTATATTGCCTAGACGTTACTTTAGAGAGAAAAACAACAGGAGCGAGACGAAGCCATACATATGTTAAATTCACATCAGTAATAAAGATTAAGTAGAAGTTAATAGCATCCCAGTCATGCTTGTGGAGGTAATCTCCTTTCTGAAAATTCAAAATTAGATTTGGAGGATCGAAGCAAACAGGGGGTGAGACTTTGGCGTAATATTTTAATCAAATTGTCATGAATGAGTGGATACAATTAAGAATTCTGTCAGTCACAGTGCTGAGCCCCTTTTGTTAGTCAGCTGTTGTGAGGGATGCACTAGGGCATCGTGGGTAGAGATTAAACTTGACCTTTCCCAGGATCTTCATTTTTGACCCTCTGGCTAGGTTTTGCTCATCAGATGTCCATTTTTAAGGGGAGAAAAGCAAAAGCGTAGGTTAGGAAATGACAAAAGCACTTTTTCCGTATCTCTCTTATTTTAAAAAAATAGTCCTTTGCTTTTAAACAGAACAGACCAGCCACAGTGTTATCTGTCTGCCAGCTATAAAATGCCTATTTTCCTTATTAGTTTTCTCTTTTGTAAGGTAGGAATTTTAGGGTAAATTACCTCTGAAAAACAATAATCGGCAAAGGGCAATGCATTTTTTTAATTATTATTTTTACAAAATGACATGAACAGAGTTCCTTATTTACTAAGCTGCATTCCAAGATGATTTATATCCTGGACATACATTATGTAGTAGAAATGAAAGACATTGTTATTTTTAAATCACGCACACACAAAATGTACCTAGTCAAGCTGGTCAATGAGAAAATATCAAAGAGCTACAGTAGGTCTTTATTAGGACCAATTGCAAGCTTCTGAATTTTTTAGAACATCTCTTCTGCCAGTTTAAAGAAGAATATTGGAGAATGCCAAAGCTTGCCCTTGGTAAGTCTTGTCTTGGGGAAGTCTATAAATTTTAGTCAAAAAATTGACCCCAAAAACTGGGTTGACTTATCCATGGGTCAATGTAAGTACTCTATTGTAACTCTTTCTTTTAAAGGAGACATCCCCTTTCTCTGAATAGAGCGGCAAAATGCAAGAGCTTAGTCCATCTTGGGAGCACCTAAAAGTATCAACCCCCAATACTGTCTCATCCATCCAACCTTTAGGGTGAGCACAAACAGTTATGCCTGTTACAATTGTATATGTTCTTTGGCATTGTTTTCCTTTGCTTCACTGTTTACATCTTTTGTCCCATGCCCCTAAATTTTACCCTTGACTTACCCATGGATCATCTCAAAATCCATGATTTTGGCGCCTCCCAAACTGCCCTCGACTTATACATGAGGTCAACTTATAGTTGAGTATATATGATACTATACAGTACAATGTTGCAAACAAGCTGATTCTTGTAAAATTATTACTCTGTTGTGGCTTTTGCTTGCTTTAAGGGCTCATCCACATGAGCCAAATAAAATGGTTGCACCCCATTCTCATGGTGACCTATTTTCACGATACAGGGCCAAATCCCCAATTTACGTGAGGACTATCTTCATGACAACATTAAAAGAATGGTACAATTAAAAACAAAGAAAAGTGGTACACTAAAACAGAACTAAATTATTACAATGTTAAAATACATTGCTTGTTAAAAGAATAAAATACAGTTTTTAAAAAAGATAAAACTGTTTAAAACACTTTAAAATGATACAACACCCCAGCCCATTATTTAAAAGTTATGTTGGTCTCCCCGTTTGTTCTATAGGACTTCCTTATGTATGTGTTGGGGTAGCTAGGCAGAGTCTGGAAGCATGCAGGGCTTCACATTTGGTTTTGAAATCCCAGTTTAGTGATACTGCTGTGTAAACATGTACATGGCTAAGAGGGGAAGGGTATTTATATTTGTTGGATTGTGCATGTGTAAATAATAATAATAATAATAATAAATTTCTTACCTAGCTCTCTCCACGTGTAGTGTCAACATACAATCTGCATCTCCAGTTTATTGTTACCTTTTGTTAACACAAAGAATCAATCCTGAGCAATTTATGCTTATATGTCAGTTGATCCATGCATTGCTGTGTACCATGGAATGTGATGATATTTTAACACTGCGTTCACTCTGTTTTCCTAGAAAATTATACCAAATACCTGATGGTCCTATTGTACTGTGGCATGAGTTTTGGATAGTCTCCTTCTCTCTTTCTGGTTTTAAATAGAAGAAAAGCAGACCTTCTGTTAACTCCGCAAACACCACAATCAACTGCATTAGCAACATTTAACCAAAGTGTTGCAAAACATACTGAAATAAAACCCTATTGCACTTCAGGGGTTGAAAGGAATATGCATCAAAACGCTTGGCATTTAATTCGCTCCCCCCCTCTCCTCTTCTTTGGGAATTTAGCCAGTGAAATATAGCTGCCAGTGTCTCAGGCCGGCGTGTGTTCTTCTGCAATATGCTCTCGATCAATCAGATTTGCATAACTAAACTGTCGGCAAGCCCGCTCGGCTGCCCAGGTGCAGGGCCATTTGCATATAGAACAGTGAGGAGGTCCCAAGAGTCACTTCAGACTCCAGTGACTGCTGAGCCCGCAGTCCACATAGCACTGGAAATGAAATTGGAATGACAAAAAAAGAGAAAAAAAGTAGTGCTAGTCTAGAAGGGTGAAATATGCACTTGTGTTTGAAAGGTTATGTAGAGATCACAAGACAGTATTCCAACAAGAAAATACACACAATCCCACACAAAAGCAAATGCCATGGAAGGTATTTGAGTCTCCTCTTCCTTGTCACCTTCTGTCCATTCATTTTATTTTATTTTTTAAAAAACAAAACCCTGTAAATTTGAATAATGCTATTTTTGTG